AGCCCTTCTTAGCAAATTAACTAGATAAACAGTTTGGCTTTGACTGAATCAGTTTAAGTGTAGGTTTCAGTTCTTTGATCCAAAGCATTTCTTTAATTAAGTAATCAAATTTGGATTTGCACTTAGATAAAACCTTGTAATAATTAACAGTTTCAGTAGTACTAATGTCATGTTCTTTTAAATGTTGTCCTATGTTACCTTTACTGTGCTCATCAATGTGTTGATAAAGGTGTCGACAAGTGTAGCCGACATAGCTTGCATCGCACAAGCCACACTGAAATTTATAAACAACGCATTGTTCATTAACAATCTTAGGTTTACTTTCTTTCGATTTCAAGATTTCACCTATCTTCCTTCTAGTGAATACGGGCATAATTAAGATACTGTGTTGGAACAAGTTTGATCTTTAAAATGGTAGAACAATTCTGATGGGTTGCTCAATAGCCTCTTGACTAGTGGTAATAATATTATTGTTAGATGTATTAACAATAGATTGTTTAAAATCTTTAATGATACCGTACTACTGATTAATTCCGCTGGGTAATTTAATCTATCAAACATAGTTGCAATATCATTAACTTCTTCAAGAAATAATTCATTGGTTGATGATAATTTGTAAGCTCTATTAAGCATAGTGTGTACAAGATTTCTTTTGTATCTATTGTCTATATGACTATCATAATGTAAAAGAAGACCTTTGTTAGTAGATTCCTTATACACTTTAGTATCCAATGATAAAGTAGCTGTTTTAAAAATAGCCATTCCTAAAAAGTTTATAGAATTATTATGGGCAATTTCCATGGTAAAGTCAATAGCACAGTGAGAGTTATTTATTATTTAAGGTGGTTAGAAACCGGTATACAGAATCCTCGTCAGGCATGAACACAATCGTGTCATCAACATATCGTCGGTAAAATGTTGGCATTTTATCAGCTGATTGTAGGGTGTCTTCGAGGTTGCTCATGAACATTTAAAAATCAAACTTGTTTCAACACAGTATCTAAACAACTTAAACAGCTTAGTTGTAAGATTAATAATGAAATTATGCCCGTATTCACTAGCAGGAAGATAGGTGAAATCTTGAAATCGAAAGAAAGTAAACCTAAGATTGTTAATGAACAATGCGTTGTTTATAAATTTCAATGTGGATTGTGCGGTGCAAGCTATGTCGGCTACACTTGTCGACACCTTTATCAACGCATTGATGAGCACAGTAAGGTAACATAGGACAACATTTAAAAGAAGATGGCATTAGTACTACTGAAACTCTTAATTATTTCAAGGTTTTATCTAAGTGCAAATCCAACTTTGATTGCTTAATTAAAGAAATGCTTTGGATCAAAGAACTGAAACCTACACTTAACAAACAAACTGATTCAGTCAAATCCAAACTGTCTATCTAGTTAATCTGCTATTATTGCTTAGCTCATTAATTATTTCCTCCATGCTTAGCTCCAATATTTCCTCCATGGCTCCACTATGGTTCCACACAGTAGGCCCTATTGATATGTTAATTAATTAATTCTGTCACTGCTTGGTATTTTTGTTTTTAGTTTTTTCAATTTACTTGATCTTGAGAATGGTTCCATTGTCATTAAATTTTGTTTTGAAATAGTAAGCGTCTCTTAATTCGTTTATACTTATATTATTGTGGTTAGAAAAACAAGCAGAAATACATATATTAATACGTTATTATGATTTTGTTAAGATAGTAAGCCTATAGCTTTAAGTAGTGTGCTGTGATCATGGTGGTTGTCTATGCAATAAACCAGTTTTAATTATATGATGGCCTATTTGTAAGGTAAAGTTTTAATGCATTTGTTTAAAAAGTATTAAAAGTAGCAGTTAGTAGACAAATATCGAAACATATTGTATACAATGGCACTTCATAAATGCATATACATTTACGGAAACACTAGCCGTTAAATACAAATAGGGTATGTTTTTAAGTCAAGATTGATGTAATACTAATTTTATTCGTTAAAGACCTGTTGCTAAACCTCAAAAGGCATAAGTGCAAATTAAGTAGAATCAATACATTCAAATTCACCTAAACTTACTTTGGCACACGCCGTCTACTAAATCATACGCCTTTATTTCCTCACTGATGTCGTAAAGGCATTTTATGCACACGGAATCCATAGCGTTCGTACAATCTACGGTTTCACAGTTACTAATCTCTAAATTGCAATCTTGAATAAAACATGTGATATTTTTATCAATTGTCTAAAATGTTTCTCATTTCTGACTATTTGTGACCTGAATAATGATGTATTTCTACTGTAATTATTCCTGCCTTGAACAAGACAATTAAGTAGGCCTATAATTATGTTGTGAATTAAATTCCAAAATATAGTTTAATAGTGCTTGTGTCAGTTGCAGAAGTTTAAACCACTGAAGTTTAACTTCTAATTAACATAAATGTTAAAGTAATCAAATCATAATCAAATGGCAACAATGACCTTAATTTAGTGTCAACATGATGACCCGAACAATTAAAGCATCTTTAAAATAATAATTACATAATAATACATAATATGTTAATGGTGATATTAGTAAGGATAAATTATAATAATGTAAGTAGTAGTGTAAACTAATTACTATATTCGCATGTTGGTCCATGGAACTGCTCGTCACATACGCACAGATTGGGGCCTCCACATCTTCCATTCATACATGCGGGCGCACATATAGCTGTACAGTAGAGATAAATAAATTAAGCTGTTTCGACAGTTATGCACGTGTGAAGATTTTACTTACACAAACAATTTTATGTTTTTTTTGTGCACATTTCTAAACAAAATATATCTGACTTACGTTCACTACATTCATTGCTACCAGGGGGCGCTGCATAACCGTCGCAACAAACGTAATCTCTACTGTACACTGTTCGATATCTAGCAACATAGCGATATCTCGTTCTACATTAAAGAACAAAAAATGGTACAGTATGATAAAATATAGAGGATTTTTTGAACTTACAATCGTCATATACGATACGATTTTTACTATATAATTACTGGAAAAGGTTATATAAATTTTAGCATCTTTATTTAATAATTTTTAAACTTTGTTGTTCTATTCGATATGTATCCCTTTCCAAAATGTGCCTTTCGTTTATTGTTTAAGTGTTAACGGGACCATCGGGACGTAAATACCCTTCTTAGGGTTCTTGATGCCCCATGATTATACTCATTTTTATATTTTTTTTCTTTGTATGTTTTATGTATGGTACCGTATCGCAATAAATAAAATCAAATCCACATATTTCAAAGAAAATCTGTAAGAATTAAATGGTCAGTGACACATTTTATGAACCATGTAAGCTCACCAAAATAAGGAACTAAATGGTGGCAAGCAACACAAGCTGCACCTACTTTCTACTGGGAATCACTAGCACATAATAATTGCTTTAATATACACTTGGAATTACAATCTAAGGCAATACTCACATGGATAGGACTATTTATTGACAAACAAAACATCAAAAATACTAAATTTACAACAAAAAAGGGCAAAAAATATTTGAAGCGCCCGGGCGCTCATTCGTGCGAGTACGGTAGCCTTGGTAACTCCTTTACAAAATTACAGACAAATGATAAAACAAACCCTATATATTGCTTACCTGTAACGGCGACATCTATTTAACCAAAGGAAGCCACAAGAAGACGTGTAACTTGACTGGTAAGAAGACTGAGCCACGTATCTTTCAGATGCACTTTTTATTGTTGAGCAAACGTTTTCTCTGTACAAAATAAAAAACAAATTAATCTTAAGCCCTATTCAGACTATCAAATTTTATTTGACAAAAAAACATGTGACATGCCTAAATATGGTCATTATGACATCACATCATGACCATATATAGGCACATCATGACCATATATAGGTACATCATAACTATAATGGGATACTACAATTTTTTTGTCAATATAAATTTGATAGTCAAGACATGGTGTTATGCATTCATTATAACTTTATTTTTCACTTTGGAATTTGAACATAAACTACATTATACTATTGATGTTTGTTTTTTGAAGAATAAGATACATGTACATTAAACATTTTTAAGTAGCAGTAAAAAGCCACTATTAAGTCTATTAATGAGGGTCTATATAAAGTTAAACAATATTGTAAAACAGACAAACCCATTTCGATCCAAAGAATGGACGGGTTTCCATATGAGAAGTAAACCGAGGGATATAACAGGAACTAAAGTGTGCAGAGCCATCATCTATTCCAACACAAATCCAACAAGGCAGGCCTACAATCTGTTATGAATACATTTAAATTTATTTATTTGTAACATAAGCTTATAATACTTTCTTGGTGTCAACTACGATGACATTCAAAACTTTGCAAAGTACAACTTATAGCATAATCAACAAATCAAAATACAGATAAAAATGTATTTATATTTTTATAACTATAAATTCATCTTTTTCAATGTCACATCTCTTTTTTATCCGATGATGCCCGAAACATGCTTTATCAAATAAATTTCTACTGTGGCTGATTGCAGTTTACAGCAGCTTTTTTTTAATTTTTTATTATATATCTAGAATACTCACTTAAAATTTAAAAAAAAAACCCTACTTTATAGACGTTTGACATACATTAAATTCATTTCAAAGTAGTATTAGTTTACCCCCTGATTCGTACATTAAATATTGTATAGTTTTGCAATCCGGGAATTCGAAAAAGAGAGGGCCCGGGGGAAGAAAGCTTTACCTCATTCTCATACAGTTGCAATTATGTAATATGGCACCTTTTAATGGCCAGAAATTACACACTCAAATATAAATTTTAATATAATTTTTATATTTTCTTTATCTTTTTTTCCGGCTGTCGTTTAATCCAACTCCCTTCAATCCACCTTCAATTCCTTACGTTGTGTATATATAAATTAATTATTAGCATAAAACTGAAAGTAGTAAGACAAAAACAAACCATGGAATGACTTAAAAATGATACTTTTGTCTTTAGTTTTCGCAGGCAGCAATGTAAGAATTTTCTTAGTAAAACGTCTGAAAATCACTTGAAGTCTTATTTTAAGTTTTAAAAGTTCTCTCTTGATTTTGTGCTGGAAGCATAACTTCCGTTTTTAAAATACGATGTAAAATATGGAACTGCATGTTGGTGAATCATCAACACAACACAGTGACGGGTATTATGTATTAGTCACACTGTGATTGACGAGTGGAAGGAATCTTTTCAAAATTGAGTAGTTGGCTACCGTTTGTGTTCTATTAGGGTTTTTGTTTCTTTTTCGTTTGTTATGTCAACCTTTAGATGTTTACATTAACCTGACAAAATACGTTGGCGTATTGTATACTTATTTTATACATACTTATTGAATTACATAATAGTTAGGTATGGAGAGAAACCTCCACTAGTTGGCAGAGTATCCGTACTCTAATCAAAAGCTTCTGGCTTCAAACCCCGATGGGGAAAGAGTACTTTCTCAAGCAAATGTTAATGTACTTATGGAAGCTTTGCTAAAGCACATAGACCAGTCAACAAACACACAGACCAGTCAACCAAGGTATCCAACAGTTTTTGTAGCCTAATCTAAAATCACACAAGCATGACGCGAGCATTCATAGTATTATTGATTTGGAATAATATTAGGCCCTATATGAAAACGAAAGATTAACTGGGACAATGAGTCACGTTAGCTTAAATCCCTTAAATGCAAGAAGTATTGTAGAAAAATCCGGGTTGTCACGTATCATTATAGATCTGCATTTAACACCAAACTATCAACCTGAAGATTTTACCCTGACACATTTTTAATTCATTTCAGATTAAACAACAGCTACAGATTCATTATGAAGACCATTTGTCATATTTATAGCTATAACCTTCATAAGTGGTACACAAGACCCTTTTTCATTACTCCAAAAGAGGACGATGATAGTGATGCAGATAATGATGATGATGATAATGATAATGACAGTAATGAATCATACCATGTTATAATTGCATAGTACAAAAAGAAATGCGGGCTATACTGGAATACCCCAATTGTCATGGCTCTGATATACAATTGTTCACGATGTATGCAGTTTTTAAAAACCAAGAACAAACTAGATAAATACATATTTGTGGGGTGTTTTAAATTTAAGCACTGGATTATGCTATAATATGAATGAAAACATTGCTTTGTCAAATTAGGTATCGTTAGTTTTGGTTTTTGTCATGCTATATTTACATGACTTGGCTATTTAAAACAACATTTCAAGCCCCGAAACATTGATTCAGAGATATCGGGATGGTGGCTGGCGGGGGATAGTTTATTACCTGATTTTGTTACATTTTTACCTAGTTATCATTTCTGTTATTTATTTATGAGCGGACCATTGCAATTGTATTTCTATGTAAAAAAATATTTTGACAAATGACAATTAAATATACTCAATACTGAACACTGAATACGAAAGCAATAGAGAAAAAGAATTGTTGAACAAATACACTGGTTGGTATGTGAACATAGTCATACCAGGTGCGCTCCTTTTGAATATGTTATCGTTATACGTAATTCAGAGTAAACATTAAGCAGGAGAGGTTCTTTATCAAGACCATTTGGCACATTTTCGACAATAATCTCCTAAGTGGTACACGGGCTTTTATTCACTTACTCAGATAATAAGAAGACTAATAATGCAGATGATGATTTATTTATTTATTTAATTATTTATATAGGGCTATATATTACAAATTCAACATACAAATGTCCAAGAGGAAACAATCGGCCAGGGCCCAACACAAAAGTGGGAATACGTTAACATAAAATAATATTCAATATAAAATATGTAAGATGATGATAATGGGAATAATGTTGAGATCATAATTATGTAGTATAAAATATAGGCTATATGAAGTGTTAGCGAATAACCTAAAATGTAAAGGTTCTGAAACACAATTGTTCGCCAATTGTGTAGGCTTACTTACACACCAGGAACAAACTACAAAAAAAAAAAAAAAAAAAACAGATTCGTGGAGTGTTCTTTATTTAAGCAATTGATTACAATTTGAATGAAAATGTTCCTTTGTCAAATTGGGAGGGGGTTCTTTTGGTTTTTCCCATCTCTATTATTTTCATGACTTAGCCTACTAAAGCAACAATTGACTAATGCAATACAAAAATAAATATGGAACAATGAAACTGGTTGGTATGCGAAGTAATTCTTAACAGGTGCAAACTTCAGGAAATGTAATGTTTCTAAAAAAAAGCTCTACTAGTTTGGAAGATATGTATCGGAACTCTAATATTGGAAGGTCTTTTGTTCAAACCTCGATGGAGGAAATACATTTTTTCTCAATAAATATTATTATAAATAGGCCTACGTATTTTTTTGGGGGGTATTTTTTTTTAGGTAATTTTGTTTTTACTAAAAGCACACAGACCAGTCAACCACTGTTGCCACGGTAGCTTAATTGGTAATTACACAGCATGACTCCAGCTTTGAAATAATTTAAGTGTCGCAATTTGGAATAATATAAAAACGACAGATTGACTATGACTCAATTTATTGTATTCCCATTTTATCACACGTATAATTGTCCAAAACAAAACAAAAAATGTAATTTTATTAGGTAATTTTGTTTTTACTAAAAGCACACAGACCAGTCAACCACTGTTGCCACGGTAGCTTAATTGGTACTTGCACAGCATGACTCCAGCTTTGAAATAATTCATATAGGGCTAACTTGGATTAAGTGTCGCAATTTGAAAAAATATAAAAACGACAGATTGACTATGACTCACTTTATTGTATTCCCATTTTATCCACGTATAGTTGTCCAAAAAAAAACAAAAACAAAAACAAAAACAAAAACAAAACAAAACAAAAAGAAGCTGTTGACTTTTGTCATCTACCAAGTGGACCTGCTTAACGGCAAACTATCCCACTAAAAATGGCCAGGACACATATTTTATGTCCACACGTCATTCAAACATTTAGTACATTTTTTTTTTCGAGAATCCTGATTTATATGTCGCCTATCACAAACCGAAGAATATACAAGTCGCTGGCGTTATTATTTCCCTGGTCACTAAACTAATTTTGGCAAACCAGCACATATTTTCTGTGCAACATTCTCCGCCCCCTGAGAGTATATCAAGTCATGCTGCTTTAACACGCACAACCTAATACGTTCAATGCCACACCATCCTAAGTACCCATTATACTCATGGGTGGAGAGAAGCAAACGTAAGTAACGTTCCTTGCCCAAGGAAACAAATAATGAGATGATTACTGTCATTTATGTAACGGTACCCTCCTCAGTGGTGCACGGGCCTTCATTACTCCAGAAGAAGACGAATGCAGATAATGACGGATGAAGATGCTGGTAATGATAATCATGCCCGTTTCCAGGAGGAGTTTTATGGTTCGAGAGAACCCCCCTTTGTAGCAAACCCCCCTCTTTTCTGGCGAAATCCCCTCTTTAAATTTCCCAAATAAGTCCTCCAACCCAACTAATGCACAGCTGCAGACCCACCCAGACACATAAATTTTCAAACATATCTGCTTTTATAGCACCGGGACTTCGACTGTGGACCTCACACCCAGAAACCCCCGCCCCCTTGGAAAAACCTGGCTACGGGCCTGATAATGATGATAATAATGAGGATAATTATGATCATATCATGTTATCACACAGTATAAAATGTAGGCTATGTAGAGTGCTAGATAAATAACGCAAAATGTCAATGTACACGGCTTTTATTCACTTACTCAGAAGACGAATAATGAAGAAGAATAGAAAGATGATTGATGATAATGACAATATTGATGATAATGGACCTTTCCAGGCCTGGTCACTAAATTAATTTTGGCAAACCAGCACATATTTTCTGTGCAACATTCTCCGCCCCCTGAGAGTATATCAAGTCATGCTGCTTTAACACGCACAACCTAATACGTTCAATGCCACACCATCCTAAGTACCCATTATACTCATGGGTGGAGAGAAGCAAACGTAAGTAACGTTCCTTGCCAAAGGAAACAAATAATGCGATGATTACTGTCATTTATGTAACGGTACCCTCCTCAGTGGTGCACGGGCCTTCATTACTCCAGAAGAAGACGAATGCAGATAATGACGGATGAAGATGCTGGTAATGATAATCATGCCCGTTTCCAGGAGGAGTTTTATGGTTCGAGAGAACCCCCTTTTGTAGCAAACCCCCCTCTTTTCTGGCGAAACCCCCTCTTTAAATTTCCCAAATAAGTCCTCCAACCCAACTAATGCACAGTTGCAGACCCACCCAGACACATACATTTTCAAACATATCTGCTTTTATAGCACCGGGACTTCGACTGTGGACCTCACACCCAGAAACCCCCGCCCCCTTGGAAAAACCTGGCTACGGGCCTGATAATGATGATAATAATGAGGATAATTATGATCATATCATGTTATCACACAGTATAAAATGTAGGCTATGTAGAGTGCTAGATAAATAACGCAAAATGTCAATGTACACGGCTTTTATTCACTTACTCAGAAGACGAATAATGAAGAAGAATAGAAAGATGATTGATGATAATGACAATATTGATGATAATGGACCTTTCCAGGCGTGTTAATCAAACTTAATTGAACAATTAGTTGAGTATTTATTTGACGACAAATGTGTTGTCCTCACAAAAGTACGTGTGTATATGTATGTATGTATTTTATTCATCTGTATAGGGGAGTTGTTTATATGGGCTTATGCTTGCTCAGCAACCCTTGCTTGCTTTGTTTTGTTTGTTCCATTTACTTGATTGAATTGTGCATGTAATCCATGTTGCGGTGAAAATAAATTTGATTTGATTTGATTTTGATTTTGATTTTGGACCTTTCAACTAAGCCCCGCCCCTGTTGCTAAGTGAATGTGTTTGATGTGAAGTACTACACCAAGGAGTCGTCTCGAATATCCAAATATATAGAATATTATGGGATAATGCACTGCTCATTTAATTTTCCGTTCACGTTTAACTGCGTGCTTAAACGTGAACATTAAAATCGTCTTTAGCGAAAGGCGGTGCGCTATACACCGTAGAACCCTCTCCCGACTATACCATTTTATTTGACAAAAACATGTAAAATATCTAAATATGGTTATGATGACATCACAATATGAACATATATAGACACATCATGACTATATATGGGTATACATCATTATTTTCAAAGAAAATTTTATAGTCTGGACAGAGCAAATGAAGGAATTTTGAACAGATGTCAAAGGTTATGGATAAACACGCAGTTTATAGATATCAAATAGCATATTCGTACACGGTGTATAAACACACTATTATTTGATAATTCTACTCGGTGTACTGATGCTTGATGAACCAGAGAAAATACTGAGCTGACACTGACGTACAGACAGGTATTATTTCATATGAACCCGGATACACGTTTAGGGTTGTATTAAAAGCTTCTGAATACAGGCTATTCATAATGATATAATATATTATTGCTACAGCTTCCATTAATTCTTTTTGATATGTATCTAAATATATCTCGCATAGGGAACAACAACAATACACATAACAATGAGAACTCACATAGCAACCAAGCTATAGAAAGTATGCCTTAATTCCTGTGTTGACAAAACTCTTAAAATTACGATTTGATGGGTTCACACTTTCCGTTATTATTTACTGTCAATAGTTGATTATCACTATACCTCATAAATATTGGTTGGATAATAGAAAAATAGGTACTACTGAAAATTGATTGTAGGGCCTAGCCTAAAAGTACACTGTAACCAAGTCAAACTGAGCTATGACGCCGAACTGAATATATTCTAGATGGTTTTTCCCATTATGACAGGTATTTCATCAAAGCATTGCATATAATGAAATGAATAGGCCTAGTATATAATCACGTAGGTGATTGCTATCGAGAAACACATTCATTACAGCTATGAAGATTTTTTTTTTTAATTGTATTTATCTCATTGCGATTTGAATCAAAGACCCTCCAATGTACATTTCCGGAGTGTCAATCAAACTTAACAACTGACTAATGAAAAACAGTGCCTGTCAGGAATACGGCGCGTGTCCAGATACGCGTATTAGGGAGGTTTCGCACGCGAACGCATACGGTTAGTGTGACGGATATGTCATCACTTATGACGTCATACGCCTGTTGCTATCCGCTAAACGTTATGCCTACAACCTCTCTAATGTCAAAAGACGCAAGTGTTTACCTTGCTAATGGCTAATATTTAACAACAAGCAACTTCCATAGTTGATTTTAAGGCACCTTTAATAACTCATCTTTTTAACGTATACTGTTTTAAAATTTATCCTAGCATTTTTATTTTTATTGTTAAGCGCATTGAGACTTTAACATAATGCGCTATATAAGCCAAAATTATTATTATTATTATTATTATTATTATTATTATTACTATTATCATTATTATTATCACATTGTAGACAAATTAGTTTTCAAGTAAAAAATATATGTCCTAGTTCAATTCGCAATACAGAAATATAAACCAGTGGTTTTACCTCAAAGACCATGGTGTACCGGGAGTTTTATAATTTGTTATAATAATATTATTAATAATTATTATTGATATTATTAATAACATTTATTATTAATATTATGTTAAAATTATTATCATAATAATTATTATTATTTACTTACATTTACGCTATTGTTTTGAGGCCAACTTAGCAAAATATGTAAGGGACGAGGCTTAGCGAACGAGCGAACGATCAGTTGCATACCAACTGAGTTGTAGGGTTAAGGTCTGTGCACACTACCACATTTTATGTGACAAATTTATGTGATATGCCCATATATAGGCATGATGATGTCATACTACCAAAATATGGGCTTATCACAAACGGTTGTCACTTAAATTTTGTTAGTGTGGACAGGAGCGTAAGCTAATATCATTCTATGTAGGCCTATTTTGTCATATAAACACCTCCCTAAAATAAACGTTTCGAGGCGTTTATTTTTCTTCTAATAAGTCATGTATGACTGTAAACAAATCTAATAGAAGCAACATCATTCTCAACACATTCTATTAATGTTATCCAGTAGAATTATATTTGTTTCTAACCTGGGTGTGATCAAAACCGCAAGTCTTTATGATCACATACCGTAGTATATAACACATTTTAACGGTAATTATGTGTTTGTATGTAGTTCCACAATGAAATTGAGGGGCGTGTATTACAATAGATACCATATTCAAATTTTATTTAAAAATTTTAAAAAGGGAAAGGTTTAATTATAAACACACCAAATATAGCAGCAGGAATTGATAAATGACACAGTAGCGATTTCATTACTTTGATATTGGGAGCTGTTTCTTTGAAATTTACAATGTCAAGTGTACGAACCCGGAGATAAATCGAATAAAAGCTTTTGTCTATGGTAATATTGAATTTCGATACTAGGCCGGACATCAACAGAAAATGTTACAATTAAGTACAAAAACACTTCCAACAATAAACTTGTAAACTTCAGAAACGAGAACGATGGACTTTAGCGGAGTTCACTTATAATACTGGTATCTATCTTCTATTCTTCTTCTTATAGAGTCCATACATGAGTTCGTACTCTGCTGAGCTAGAGCAAGACTCTGTTGTATGTCGAAAACTATACACTTTATGTTGATTTAGTTCTAAAACTCAGCGATACATTTTGTATCAATCATATTAGGGTAGCTTAGCTCAGTCATCTAAACTGGTGGTAGCCACTGTATGTACGCTGAACCATGGAGACCTCTTGGTCCCTGTTCAATTCCCATCGCTGCTCTCCTTATTATTTCAGCTAGAGGGCTGAAATGCAAGTTACGATAGCATTGTCTTTCGGATGTGACGTTTAAGCCGTTGGTCCCGTGCGCGTTGTGGCCCATGTGCACGCTAAAGAACGCAGTGCACTCTTCGGAAAAGAGTAGGGGATTGTTTCCCGGTGTACTGCCCAATCACCACCAGGACCCCACTGGAAATACGTCTTCTTTATATAGGCCTAATAAGACTTTCGCCGTGGGTTATCCTTGGTGTTTACACCTAATAAATCCAACCCAAACCATTAAGAGTTTTACACTGCTTTTAACATGTTTAAACATGCTAGAAACTATTTGCTATAGTATAGCTGTTTTTTTTTACAAATTATATTGTTAAAAACGTGCGTTTTTAGCGTTTCCTGAATCCAGGTGTTATGCGAAAGTTATCTGAATATTTACAGGATGACCAAACTTTATCATTCTGATACTGGCCCTGGATGAAAATAATATGTTAACACTGATCAGGTACACAGGGTAAAGAAGAAATAAATAAAAAAATAAATAAAATACAATATTCTAAGATAGAAAGCCTACAGCTAACTACTGATGTTCCTTCTTGGCTTTTGCACACTGTCTCTAAAAAATGCATGGAAAATTAGTGGAAACATTTGAGAATAATAGACCAATAATCCATTATAAATATCTATTCTCGGCCTTTTAATTATTTTCAACACTATAACAGTAGGGCTTATAACTAGACACTGATTTATATATACAATTTATGAAAAGGCAACTTCGACGTGTATACTTCGAGATCGATTTATATCTTGGAAGTGATTAATCATAAGTCTATATATACAATTGACTTGCATGCTAATTTTCTATTTTTACCAAATTCTATGCCTACTTAATTTAACATTGTAAGTAAACAGATTACAGTATTATTATACAAGCAATGTTTTTGTTTAGAGAAAATAGAAACATTAAAGTATGTTGAATAGTAAAATATGACGTAAGCAACTATATGTTAAACCCCCAGAGTATTAAGAAATTATTTTGAAGTTTACTTACAGGTTTTTACTGAAAAACATGAAAACAACTACCGTGCTCAATAGGCCACTACCAAAATAAGTACTGGTGTTAATTTCGGTCTTTTGCTACCCATTGTGGATATAAACGACGGGTGGATGACTATACAACTGAAGCATATCGAAGTCTATTATCTTCCAATTAATATTCTCTGTCATTGTATACATAGCAGGGAAACGTCATCCAGTGATCTAGACCTAAACAAGTTAACAATAGGCCTGAAGCTTACAATCAGACTACTATAAGTTTATTATGGCGTGTTTAATGTTAGTGGACAAACCATGGACCTATATTAATAAGCGTTGGTTTTTACAGTTTTGTATTGCTAGTTATGAGATCACTGATCTGTAGCGGTCTGAACCACTAGGGGTGGCGCCATTGGGGTTGCTGGGTCAGGGCCCCTGGCGGGGGTTGGGCAGCTCTCTAGAAAAACACAATTTGTCTGGGGTATTTTTATAGTAGAAGACTAAATTCGATTAACCCCCATGAAACATTATATTGCCCTAGATCACTTCTGTAGTCACCACGACAACTTACGTTCTCGTCGGGGAGTCGGCTCTCGTCGAAGCCATCCAATCCCCCCCCCCCTCAATGGCGTTGCTTTTGATAATGATAATGATTTAGATGCCTGATTACGCTTATTATTATTATTATCATACATCAATAATTTCTATTATTTATTATTATCATTTTCATTATTACTGTATTATTATTATTATTATTATGACGATAATGATGATGATGAAGATGATGATGATGATGATAGAAGTGATTATAATGTTATATATTAATGATTGCGGTACACCACGTATACAGTTCTGAAAAGAACTATCTACGTGGTGTGCCGCAAGCATTAATATAATATTATTACTTCGCCATGCAAACCTTCAAACAATATATGATGATGTTGTTGTTGCTGCTGCTGCTGCTGATGATGATGATAATTATGATAATAATGGTGATGATACGGTGATGATGATGATGGTGGTGGTGATGGTGCCGATGATGATGAAGCTGTTGATATCGATGATGGTTTTGCTGATGATAAATTATGACGATGATGATGATGCGTATCACAATGATTTTGATGATGATATGATGACGATGATTATAATGCACTTGATGATGATAATGACGACAATGATAGAATAGTGACGCTTTCAAGAAAATACAAAACCACTTCAACCAAAACACCATTTATTTGCTAAGTACCGTAAAAATATGGAACAAAAAATCCAGTATATCCGTTGTGTATTGTAACATAACGTTAGACATCGTGTTATTCCTTCCTCGCAGGCCATAAACAAATATACATTTCAGAATTCAAAAATCGATAACCTGACGGGGATTTACCTGGTGCTCAACATATTGTTCTATAATATAAAATAGTATGTTAGCACCGGGGGAATCCCCGATAAGATTCGTGCCCTGTATAAACATTATCGTGTACACAGGGCTCGAACCGAAGTGGAGAGGTACACATAATGCACACAATCGAATATTGGTTTAGATTTAATATAAAAAGTAAAATATATATATATGTTTCTAATAGTTGTTAATAGGAATTATTTTCAAGATAATAAATCTATCAATATTATTCATTGTTAACTGGTATACCGTATTCACTCTAATAAACGTCCCGGAGCGTTGATTTATTTTTTTTCTCGAATAAACGCCCCGAAATGACTGTAAACAAAACTAATGTAAGCAACACCATTCCCAACACATTCTATTAATGTTCTACTCCGGCAGAATTACATTTTTCCAACCTGGTGGGGACCAATAATCTTTTTATGATTACACAATTCCGTAACACATTCAGACGGTAATACGTTGCAGTTCCACATTTACAGTGAAATTAATTGGCATTTATACCGGTATCCATTTTACACAAAGAAAAATAATAAAAGAAATAAGCGCCTTCCTCAAAAAACGCCCCTTCAAAAATCCTTCTCAATTAGAATAAGTACGGTATATTCAATAAGAATAAAGAAAGAAGAAATCAATAGTCAAAATAAGGATTGAAATCACTCTCAAGTCTGGCAGAAATTAATAAACAATATAAGTTTGTATTACTTTTGTCCGACACCGAATTTTAAAACAAAATGGTCGCTTTCGGCATTTCTTAAAAAAAAATAGCAAAGAAATGCCCAACCCAAATCCTATTTCTCGGCCAGCCTATCAATCTTGAATTGCATTTTAATGTTACCTTGCTTTAGTAACACAAAGGCATAATAATTATCTGAATTCTCAAAAAAAAAATATATATAATAATAATAATAACAATAATAATCAGCTTCCAAATCCTATATCCTGTCTATATAGCTGTACCTTCATGATTAATGAAATACGGAGTAGGCAACGGCCAATTTTCTAATAATATTCAAAACATGATACAATAGTTGATAATCAAATTTACATACATAATTGTATGACCAATAATAATTAACTTTAGTAATATTTGTGTTTTCAGTTCTAAAATCATCACTATTTAATCACATTATAAGTATACCTGACTCTGAGTATAATCAAATTTACATACATGTTGTATGACCATTAATGAATAACTGTAGTTTGTCTTAATCCTAAAACCATAACTATTTAATCATATTATAAGCAAATCTGAGTACAGTATCATAATAATTACCTTATCATCTGTATATGTAATTTAAATCTATAGCTCAACAGTGGCGGTTCTAGGATATAATTTATGGGTGGGGGGGGCTAAGGTATCTGACTGGGGATGAGTATTTATGGGTGTAACTATAGCGCGCAGCGGTATCTGGGGGCCGAAGGCCGGAGCCGGGGGTGGGTATGGGAGGGGGTGTCTCCTCCTCCCAAAACGAGATTAAAAAAATAATAATAATTGGGAGTTCTAGATGGCCGGAAATGGCTGGGATGGGAAAACTAGGCCTATCTTTATTTTTTGAAATCGGCCAAAGCCCCTTCCCCCATCCCCGACGAGATTTGGTCGATTGGGGTGGGCTTGACCAGACCGATGGGGGATTAATCCCCTGCCCCCGCTATCGCCGCCACTGAAGCTCAATGTATGCCTTATTCTGCACCTACAATGCTCACAAAAAATCTTGTTTAACACATAATGATATTAATAGATAAAAGAATGTCATCTGTCTTACTGTATGAATTAAATAGTGAACGTGCCCTTTGTTGGTCTCTTCCCTCAATAACGAATGTAGGAAAAATGGCCCTGGTAAAAATGGCCCTGGAAAAATGGCCCCGGTAAAAATGCACCCAAATGACAAGCAGGTAAGAACTGTAATAGCAAAAATTGAATCAATAAATAAAAAATTGCCCAAATTATAAAATTCAATAAAAAAAAAATTTAAATGCTGTAAAATACCTTGTAAATTTATAAAATAAGTTTTAGTTTTTCCTTTGAAAATAAGATCAATTTATGGGATTTTTTTTTCAAATTTCTCTAAAAGTATTTGTTTTTTTCACAAAATACAGTTACACAACAGATGCAAATAATGTATTGAGAGATTCATCGGATAACAATGGCCATTGAATAACATTTTTTGATAGTAGAAATAAAAGTTTTAAAACGTTATTCCACTAACAAAGTAGAGGAATGACCTACATACTGTACTTCAACTACTAAAATATGCAACTCATATAATAGATAACCACAAAATTCACTTTTGTGAAGTAGCAAATAAAATAACTTTACATGTTATAAACAATGCAAATAAACAGTAGTTAAAGAATGTGGATAAATTGTCTGTTTGAATCACAAGTTTATGTATGGGGAAAGGGAGAGGCTTACTTTCTCACCGGTAATCGGACATAAACCACCCAGGACATAAACCACCCGGACGAAAACCACCCAAACTGGAATATACCATTGTGAAAGTAGGATGGGCAGTGGGATGGACAATGTTGGGTGGGCCTGTTTTTATCACCTTCACAATAGGATAGACTACACTGTGACTATGACCTATTATACGCCTTTAATTCATTCAACACTTTTGACACCAGGCATGTATGTTAATAATCATTGTAGATTTTCCTGATTTCAGCAATCACTGTGCTTAAAGTTTGTATTTTGCTAATGATTTTAACACAACAATTTGTATTTTTCTAATGATTTTAACACAACAATTAACTTCAAAGTTTAATGGAAATTCAAATACATTTAATAATATTAATAGTTTGAATCTAAAAAGTCATATTTTTCAGTAAAGTTTTAATACATTAATAACAGTTTTTTTTTTCTCTCTCTTGGTATGGTATTTGTCTAATATTATAGTATTCACAAGGACTTGTCCCTACTTCCTTTAAATATGATTTAATAATAATAATAAAAAGGTGTTCTTCATGTTTTTTATTTATCTTTGAATATTTTATCTTTGAATATGTAATTCCTGCCAAAAGTAAAATATAAATGGCAATTTATTTGATGTTAGATTTCTTTTAAAAACTAAATTATTTCAGTTAAAAAATGCATATAATGATTAAGAAAAACAATTTTAATACAGAATTTTTTTATTGGGGCCATTTTTACCTACCTGTGATTTGGGGCCATTTTTGGGGGCTGGGGCCATTCTTACCGTACACCATACATAACATCTGCACGGCAGAGATAAAGCCGGTCGTGTATCCACACAAGCAGATGAATTACTACGCGGACTGCTCCCTGATCTTACCAATGCTGTACTAGTCATCATTTATTTATATCTTTTCTAATAATGTAGTTCTGTCAACAGAAGACACATTCCCATTACGTTTATAAAAATAGTTTGTTATCCAATCATAACAATAACAGAGATGGCAGTATTGGTGTGCACAATTAAGCACTGTAGGTGCTTTCATATACCCGATTTTGAGGAAAACTGCTCAATTGTAATTTGTTTTTTTTTACTATAATTAATGATTTGTCGACTCTAAATTCAAGCGGTTATAATGACTTCGAAATACGATTCTATATAATAACCGTGTAGTGATGCTGACAGTCCTTTCCCAAATCGTGATTAAACTGACAAATTCCCTACATTCAATGTATTACAAAGTCCTTAAAAATATTAGTTGAATAGACTACATTAATTGTACACTACAAATGAACATTACATATATTTTTCTATTATTTGGTTTAGTTAGTTTACCCTGTTACCTATAAAGTAAATATTACAAATTTGTTCCTGAACTACTTGTACAAAATTACTAAGGTAGTTTATACCTGAATGCGTTAATCATTGTGTGATCAATGTGTAATTGTTTGCTGCTAATTTATTTCTAACACATAGTTTATGCGTAGTTTTTGTGCTTATCTTCACAATTCATCTAGGCCCATATTCTTGTCCATGTAATGATGAGAGGATGACGTTTTGTTGATTACTGCATATCACTGTTTACATCATCATTGCGTAAAATCTCCTCTTGCAGTACTTTTTTTCTATGAAAATTGTATGAATTCTCATAAATCAATCAAGCCATAATTCATAGTAATACTTACGAGTAAAAAATAAATGTGATATTAAAAAAGTGCAGATGGTGACCAAAATAAATTTGAATCCAATTGTAAAGCTTGGTTACCAATTATAATGAATAAAAAAATAAATAAAAGTGTTGTATTAGAAAAATACATAATTATTAATGTATACGCATAACTTTTTACAATGCGACAAGGGAAACAAACAAAAGCACAATACATTGTCAGTGGTTAAAAACCTGGAAAATGCTCCACAATTTAAATGGCTTACCTAAATGTTATTCATATCAAATAATATGCAGATCGAAACAATTGAGTTTTGTTTATATAAACTAAGACAGTAGAAACACAAAATAGAACTCTTGCTTAGCAAAAGTGAAACATAGTTTTTACGCATTCTTAGACGTACACGGCAACCTCCACTTTTCCGATGGAAAAAAAAATAGATGAGAATATACTCGGAATTTACGTACGGTAAGTTTGTTTATCCCCCATCCGTACGCGGTGCCTCATTCAATGGGGCGCCGCGTACAGCTGGGGATAAACAAACGTCTATCTTGGTCTATCTTACAGCATCTACGTTGGTATTACTATTTACCACCATGCATGTCGGTGATATAGTTTCTTTTTCTGTAGAGAGTTCTATCTTGTGCTTCTAATATTTTTGATGCAGAGTAAAGACATCTTATTTCGAAACTCCTTTATTACCAGCCATTTTAGTATATACTGCAAACAAATATGCCTATAAAGCCTGCATTACGCGTCAAATAGATGACGAGGACATTTCATTTTTTTAATTCAATTTTAGGCTTACTTATGTACAGAGAAAACAAATCTGTTTGCTCGATGAAAATATTCTTATCTTCAACAGAGTATTTCTTCTACAAAATGCTATGCTATTGAAATATACCTTGCAGAATTATTCTCCTTTTCCATTAGCCCCTTTCGACTCTTTCTCTCCGGTAACTGACTGAGTCAGATAGGACGCGTATTCAGGTTGATGTGGATCGGCATATGGATTAGAATTAGATGGCACGTCCTAAAAAATATACAAAATTAGGAGAACATGAAATTGAATGGTTTGTATTAGGTCTATTGAATACACTTATAAAATATAATAATCATAATCATGTTTCATTAATGCCTTACATTGCTGTAGGATGGGTTTTGATGTCCAGTACCATCGCGAGGCGTTTGAGGCTGAAATACCACAAAAGTATTAGAAATATATAATAATAATAATAATAATAATAATAATAATATATGTTAATAGTAATAGTAATATTAAAAGTAATAACAATGATAATGATAATGATGACAAAATCAACAACAACAACAACGACAATAACACTGATACCGAAAATGGGCATATTGTTAAAATTATATATTTATTTGATTAAATTTTAATATTAATAATAATACTATTATATATATTCACAATAAAAATAACAAGTATAACAATGATAATTATTGTCATTTTCATCTTGATTAGCATCATCATAATTATTGTGCTTGCTATTATCCCTTCTATTATTATTACAGGTCTTCCTCTAATTAAAGACCTCTCGAATGTAAGACATTTAATCTATTTCCTAGGATATGGGATGCCGTGCCTTCACCTCACGACAGTTTGTTGATTGGCCTTTCTCAGTTTCCTAATGCTTTAAATGATCACTTCAAAAAATAAAATTTGTTTTGTATGGGTTCCGATGGTGAATAATCTTGACTTCTTGACTTCAAATAATTTTAAATTTCTCTTTTGTCTGCGCTGCTGCCGTCGCCGCTACTTATTGTGCAGTCGCTGTTTGCGCTGCGCTTTGCTACTGCCATCATTTATTGTTATTCTCAGGGAGTTTCTGAAAACACCCACGTATTTTTTCTAGTGGTTCCATGAGAGTAACAGTATATTGGTTCTTGCGTGCTGCGCTGTACTGCGATTTATTTTTAATTTTTTACATATTAACTTTTTCTATAGGCCTTGGCCGTTTTTGCTCGTTTTTACTTCTAGACAACAGAGATTTATATATTTATTTTATGTATTTTCCCTTAAATCAGTGGAAAAACTTTGTACAGCAATTTAGTTTGCTTTTTGTTTATCCTGTCTCTGATTTTTGGTATTGTTATTTCTGTTCGTTTTGTATTTGTTGGACGAAATAATGAAATGAAATTAAATGAAAGACCACCTCTAATTAAAGACCACTTTTTTGTGGTCTTAAATTAACAAATATCTATCTTTATTAAAGACCAAGGCTTCTAAGAACATAAAATGAATAGACATGACTTTAAAAAACATGCACATTATAGATACAAGGTAAAATTAAAATAAAGAAACTGAGTACATAATAAAGTAAATTTAGGAACTAATATGGAATAAGGAAACTTACGTTGTTTCGCTTTTTAAGTACTACTACAAGAACCACAGCTAAGACCACAACCACAATAACAGCTACCACTATGCCAATTACTAGTCCAGTTTTGGACCCCCTTTCGTCTTTGGGTTCCCGTACTAGAGGCACCTGAAAGGAATTATTATTCTATATTAGATTGTTGTATTTAAAAGTCAAAGATCAAAGTTTAGATAAAAAAAAAGACACCAAATATACATTAAAAAAATATTCAGTACAATATAGAATGTCACTCTTAGCTCATTTACAAACAATTCAATAATTGATTTTACTGTTAATACAGACAGTGTTTAAGGGTTTGAATCTTTCTTTTAAAATGTAAAACACGAAAGTGAACCAAATGATTTGAAAGATCAGCCTTCTAAGCCTACCTCAGTTTCTTGTGTGATTATCAGTAAAGCATTATTTTTTATGGTCACTCTCAAGATTGCAACAGATTCTTCGACACTTTGATCTACTGTTGGTGTCACATGTAACTGTAATTTGTAACAGTACTTATTACCGAGTATGCAATAACATTCTGTAGGAAGGCAATCGCCAGTCTAAAAAGGGAGAGAAAAAAAACATGTACTGTATTTTATATTTGGATAATCCATCTTGAATTATTCACAGATTTTCTAAGCATTATCCTCGACGTTCAAGCAGTGTTGACAGGTTATACATTAGCCCAAAGATTGTAACCGAAACCTTAGGAGAAGCTTGGCTTAACTTCAAACAATTTAATTGAGAGCTAATGAATTACTTAAATATAAAACTTAAAGAACATCTAGTATTAATATTCAATTACATTTACGTTTTGTGGGCGGACGTTGTTGAAAATAGTTGCCGAACAGTGGCAGTCCGTAAGGCAAGCAAGGACCTTGTATGCAGTGCATACTCTAGAAAAATATTAAACTCCGTTATTTCTCCGTTCTATTTATCATTTCTTAGCCACAATCTTCCATAGAAACCTTAATTTTTCGAGTTGATTAAATTTCGAACCATCGCATTGTTCTCACTCATCTGCTTAGAGTTTCCACATGGTTGGTTTTCAAAATCAGCCAATCGCGTATTCAGTGAGTCAATGGAAGTGGGAGCATACCCCATAATGATTGAATTTGCTATTACGCCTCCCGCGTGCGGCGTTAATATAGTAAAATTAACTCTGGAACGAATGGAAACGTTGTTCTAAAAGTACGTGCGCATACTCCTCTTCTCATTGCTTCTCTCAACAGCAGTGCTCTGAGTGGCCTAATCGGGCATCAGGAACTCCACTGGTGATCAGGTGATATGTATATTCTATCTGTACATTCTATAATCTCCATGATATTATCGTATAGGTGTCTATAAAACGAAGACCGAAGACCCCAAAACGAAGACCCCTATTTTTCCCTTTTATTTTGATGATATTACGCCCAGCTGTCACAAAATCAAAATTACGAATTTATTTGGGCATCTGTTTGTTAAATTTTCAAGGGTTTTCGTTTTATAGACACCCTATATGGGTGTCTTCAAAACGAAGACCGAAGATCCGAAAAACGAAGACCTCTAATTATTTCTCAATTATCTTATTGAAAGTAGGCCTAATTCAAAATCATCATAAAACAGTTGCCAAGTACCTATTTCATTATTTCATCACGATTGAGAGAAAAAAATGTTGATCTTCGTTTTTCGGTCTTCGGTCTTCGTTTTGCAGACACCCATATACAGGATGTCTATAAAAGGATATAGGATGTCTATAAAGTGTAACTCTCGTGTAGACATACAATAGAATTTGATGTGACCTTCACTGGATTTCTCATTAACTTGCATCGGATAGTATTGATCGTCAGAACATAGCTTGCAACCATGTTGTGCCCCAGAGGCCTGTTGCAGTCACTGTTCCATCCGGGATATAATTGGACCAGAATGGGCGAAAATCGATGTCCCTAAGAAGAGGCAGCTCAGGTTTGGCTCTGATCTTAAGGGCCAGCTTTTGCTGTAGCAACCTCCCCGCGAATGTCCGGAGTGGAGATGTTGCTTAGAACTGCTTATAATCTCAATGATTAAAGTTAAAATAAATGTGCATACATACGACCGGTATAAAAGAAACATGTATTATATGAATTGTAATTTGTTAAACGTACAGGAAAAGGAATTCTTTAAGAAAAAAATACTAAAGCAATGCTGGTATAAATAAATACATTCATTTTGAATTTTGACTATATAGAACGCAGTCTTTAATTGTAGGCTAACTTTTATCACTAGTAGGAAATAGCATACCCTGCAATTTACTCTACAGTCAGCCACTGTTGCGCAAGGAACTGTTACTACCTAACAAAACTGCCTAAAGGCTCTCTGGGGCCGTATAACGGTTCATTATACTGTACTTCGAATTTCCGTCAGCGCCCAGACTAACTTCAAAAAATTGTGATTCCGCTCCCTGAAATTGCAAAAAACTAAATTATTTAAGTATTTATGTCGATGTATCGATTAAACTGTTGCTATTTTGTAAAATATAAATAGTTAGAAAATAAAAACAAATTATTAAAAAATGTTATTCATGACCTATTTTTTAGTTGATTATTCCAAAATAAACAAGAGATAAATAATTCATAAAAACACCAGAACTACAGATGTGTTGTTTATATGGCATTTTAAAAAAACAAAAGGTTTTAATTTAGCACTTCTTCTTGCCCATAAATTTAATATGCCCTTTTACATAATCAAACTATTAACTTGCTTACTGGACTGATGATGATTCAAATATACCACTGCATATCAAAACCAGTGGTGGCGCCCGACGCACATCTAGGTGGTCGGATAAAAAATAAAAAAAATAATAATGATTTGCCTATCCAAATAACGTAATTTTGACTGCCAATATTGTGGTTTAAGAACACTTTTTGGACCATAGTATTAGCCATAAAAGCTCTCCCAGTGAACCCTAAAAGGGCGTTTTTATTTCGGGCCGTCAACCTAGGCTTCTTCAGCCTCCTGGCTCAGACCCCTCCGTCGGACATGTCGGACCCCATGTCGGTAAATTTCAATCATGTTTTAGAAAAAAAAATTATCATTAAAATTATTTATCAATTCGAAACTCAGATTAAATATAGTAAGACCAACTTTGTTTCGGGTGGCAAAATATCCAATTCAACCACACTGTTATTTATGTTACCGACACCAAGGCAATTCAATTCTGTTGAATTACCTTGCCGACACACATTGCGATTGAAAACTGCCAATGACGTCGTTAAGAAAAATATAATTAGGCCTAAACAAGTGTCGTTACTTACAAATTTTAAATCATCTGTGTAACCTTCTGATAAGATGGTTTTGTCTACCTCAGAAAGCATCTGCCAATGAACGCTCTGGATTCCACTTTCTCGGTCGTATGCAGTAAAATATACACTGTAATTAATTACAACTAGTTAACAATATACAAATGATATATACATATAACACACAAGAAAGTTCAAAATAATCTGATTAGTGAGAATACACACACACGAACCCCCTCCCCCCACCCCCCCCCCCCCCCACACATATATAAATATAAATGATGCACAGTAGAGATTGCATCTTTGGATCTCCGATCTTGTTCACAAATTCCCGGACTAGTGCTGTCTCGTAAGAATTTCGTAGGACGCGTTAAGAATGACAAAATATTCTCTGTATCTACTTGAACCGAGTCCGTAGCCTGTATTCCACTATTTGCATTCACACTTGGGCTGTGTATATATTGCCTTGGTTTGGCTCTGTAATCATTAGTGGTCGTGGGACTAGTTTGGGCCCTACCTAAGCTGGTTGAACATTTCGTTTGGGTCTGTACTCTAGCTGCATATTGGGATTCCTTCCAGTGGATGCTTAGTTTCGGATTTTCTCTACTGTTCCCATTTAATTTTAAATTGTTTTGCATTATGTGGCCGTTTGCTGTTTTATGGGTT